GGGACGTTTTGCGTCAATAACCCTAATAGAAACTACCATCACAGCAAAAAATTGAAAACTATGAAAAAAAGGGCATTAAAATACCTTATTTCAATCATTATTTTGAGCAATCTCTTTCTCAATCTTAGACACCAGATAACGAAAATTACGAATCCTGTAAAAACAAGGTTTGTTGACAAAATTAGAGGAGAGAAGAATAGAGAGAAACAATGGAAACACAACAATCCATAACCCGGAAGTATAATCTAAACCTGAGGTGTATTCCATGGGAGGAATTTTTGACGACGATGAGAAATGGCGACACGTGTGACCCTTACTTTGCCTCTTTTAATATATAGTGATAATGTATTTTAATTAAATTAAAATTTCACTTATAGGCCATTGGTCATCGTTGAGGAAAAAAAAATATTTTAAATAGTATTTTTTGGAGAATGTGTGATTAAAGAGTAAAAAAAATTTAGATTTACGCGCAAAAAATTTTATTTTGTGAAAGATTGAATGAGTTATTGAAAATAAGTATGAAAATTAAAAAGTTTTATTTGAAAGGGAGGTAAATAGGGGTTAAATGGGAAATAAATTTAAATCGAACTTGGAGAAGCCTACACATAGGGGCGCGCATCTAAATCTTAACCGATATACAGTTCAACGCGTCGAATATATGCCTTCTCGATAAACATCAGCACGTGCCACATGCAATTTCAGCCATCAGATTTTTTTGCCTTTGCAGCAAATAGATGACACGTGCCCCTAACGTTGTCGGCGGCAAAAGCTCCTCTGTATTTTTTGTCGTGTACTAATAGTGAAGTCACAATACTACCCCTGCAGTTTTCTTTAAATGACAGATCGAACTTTTTTAGGTGAAAAGACATTATTGCACTTGCAACTAAAGATCACAAATGTTTTTATTGGATTTATAAAATTATTAAGCCCGTTTGACCTCATTTTTAAAATTTATATTTAATCAAAAATTATTTTATTAAAATAATTTTATACATAAACAAATTTTTTTTCTTAAATTTAACAAAACATTCTTCTAAAAATTACTGTTTACATAATATATCTAAAAAAACTCTTTTCAAACAGAAGCTAACTAAAATAACTTAATTGTTTGGCCTCCATTTTTGTGGGAACTCATTTTTTCAAAATTAATTTCAACTACACATTCACTAATAAAAATAATTCTACACGTAAATCCAATTTTTATTTTATTTTTTAACCACACATTATTCAAAAAATTACTATTCTAAAATTTATTTTTCTCCCAAATAGGGCTAAAACAAGGGCTTAATAGTTAATACAAGCATCGACTAAGTACAATAAGCAAATGCTCATTTAGTGGGGATGAGATGCTAGAAGACAACTGCGAAGTTTGATCGACGTGTTGTATAGAAGGAAAATCCCCATCAAGTAGAAGGCCAACTCAAATTATTCCAATAAAGTATGTATGATTTTATAATTGAAATATTTGAGATGTTTTTGTTACGATTGAAAGGTTTGAAACTTATGTGCATTGTTTTGAAAGGATTGGGGATCTCTGCTACAAATTTCTATAAAATTTTGAACTTCGAATATTTTCTTGTTAATTAAGGTGGACAGTTCCGTCATTTACTAACTTACCCTCTCTCTCTCCACACACACAGACATGGCCATAATAGCAGCAGAAGAATCCTTTTCCTACACAGTAACTTGTTAAACCCAGCAATGCCTAATCATTTGAAATTATAATTCTTGAAATGAATTTTTTTGTTAATGTGTCTTTGGAAAAAAATAAATAATTTTTAATTTACGTATAATATTATTTTATAAAAATTATGTAATTAAAAATATGAGAGTATAAATTTTCGAGATAACGCGGCTTTTTGAGATAACGGGCCAACGGGGCTATAAACATTTTGGCCTTCTTGGAAAAAACCGACACTTTCATCTCCTACTCCGTTGTAATCTCAGAACAAAAATTTCGTTAAAAAAGAAAATCAAGAACTGGGGTATAAGTGTACAACCCCAGATTTTTGTACAGACCTATACATATTTGTGAGTATTCAATTTTCATGGTGAGTTTTTCTTCTTTATCTTCCATGGACTTCAAGAAACTCACATTTTCAGATCAGATTCCGCCATTTGCATCATCTTCAAGAAGAAAGGTAGTTTCAGGGTTTGGTTTAGGCATCGTGTTATCATTTATTGTTTTGACTATTATACTGTTTAGTATCTCTTTCAAGACTCCATTTTTGAGCCCAGTTTTTCAGGGTTTTAACAATTTGGGTTCTCGGAATAATAGTGCTTTTCATTTTTGGCACTTTCCTTCTTCCCCTGGCATTGATGTTAAAAATAGTACCAGTAATACTACATTTGCTCAAGAATTGCAACATTCTGCGGTTATCGATGAAATTCATGAAGAAAATAGTAATAAAACTAGAAATTATGTGAAGTCTGATGGGAAGGGTGTGGTTTTAGAGAATGCCAAAGAGGGGAATGTGTCTGAGAAGTTAAAAAATGGAGGCTTTCTTGATGGGGAAGGGAGCATTCAAGTGGAAATCAATGTAAAAAACGGGAGTCTGATTGATAAAAATGCGACCAATAATAATGTTAATGGGAAAGGAATGGCATTGGAAAAAACCTATGTGGGGAATTCCTCTGAGAGTGTAAAGAATGCAAGTATTCTTGTCAAGGAGAATATTGAGGGAAAAAATGTCAGCGAGAATTCGCTTGAAAAATCAGTTGATTATATACACTCTTCGAAAGAGCCAAAAACCGAAGCCCCTTTAGATGCTAATGTGGGTAATCACATGTATAAGGGAGATGATTTGGGTTCAAGGAATAAAGCAAATGAGGGTAATGATGCAAATAACAGTTCTTTTAAGAACTGCAACATCTTTAATGGTAGATGGGTGAGAGATGATACAAAGCCATATTATCCTCAAGGTTCCTGCCCGTATATTGACAGAGATTTTGATTGCCACCTTAATCAGAGGCCGGATGATGGGTATGTGAAATGGAGATGGCAGCCATATGGATGTGATATCCCTAGGTAAGATTTCTCTTGTTATTTCTGTTCGTTTGAAAGTAATTGAATCTTGTTTCTTATTGCATTACTTGATCAAAATGAAAAAATGAGCAGTGATTTAACATGTTATATGTTATCTACAAGATAGCTGAATCGTAATGCATTTTTTTTTGTACTTATGGACATTAATTAAGGGCCCTCAGTATACGTTTTGAGTTATAGTCACACAGGGTCGTCAGGGAAGGAATCGTATGAAGCTTATTTGCTGAACTCACTGTGGTTTTTATTCTTCTTCAGTATTTGGCCGATTTTTGATATATGACATGTATTTAAGGACCGGAAATTGGAAATTTGTAGTTTCCATTTACTTATTGAAGCTTCTTATTTTAGGTAGTTAGATCAAGTCATATGTATGTCAGTGACAAAGTACTTGTGTGGTTCTCGTGACCTCAATTAGTTACGACTTTTATCAACGTTATCTAGTTTATTTTCGATCACATAATTGTTTCTAAAAAGCTTCATTTTGGAACTATGATTGTGTAAGGTTCTTACAAAAAATCCATCCGTAGTAGCAAATTGAGATAAACGACAATAGCAATCATTTAGCATGGAAGTAGTCACTTAATGCATATAGTTCTTTGAATTCTATTGACAAACAACTTTTTTCCCAGCTTGAACGTAACTGATTTCTTAGAGAGGCTCAGAGGGCAAAAACTAGTCTTTGTGGGAGATTCATTGAATAGGAACATGTGGGAGTCTCTTGTATGCATCCTCCGTCATGGCGTAAAAGACAAAAGACGAGTCTTCGAGATATCGGGGAGGAGAGAATTCAAAAAGAAAGGATTCTATGCATTCAGATTTGAGGCATGCTTTTATACCTTTTGAAATGGTGCCAAAATTATTGTTAATTCACTTGTGTTTAACACACCATGCGTCGGATGTTCATGCAGGACTATAACTGTACTGTAGACTTTGTTAGTTCTCCATTTCTTGTCAGAGAATCATCTTTCAATGGTAAAAATGGTTCTTTTGGTACCCTAAGATTGGATTTGATGGATGAGACAACTTCAATGTATCATGATGCCGATGTGATGATATTCAATACCGGACACTGGTGGACTCATGAAAAAACGTCCAGAGGGTGAGTGTAGTTATTTTGTTGATGAGTATTTTTCTTACAGGCCTAAATTTTTGAACTTCCGACTAGATATTTAGTGCCATGTAAGTAAATGGATCATCTTTTTACTGAATTTTACCAATATATATGCAAAATCGTTATATAGCTTAGCGCACTTATGGTTTTGCAGGGAAGGCTATTACCAGGAAGGTAAATATGTCCACCCAAGACTCAAAGTCTTAGAAGCTTACAAGAGGGCACTTACCACTTGGTCTAGATGGGTTGATAAGAACGTTGATCGAAGCAAAACCCAGGTTATCTTTAGAGGATATTCAGTCACACATTTCAGGTATGTGAAAAAACCTTCTTGTTTATCACATTTCATAATGTTATCTGCTACTTTGTGTTAATGAATTTTATTCCTATTTTTTGGAATGTCATTAATGGCAAATTGTTCGTTAAGTTTGACACTCTAAACAGATATGATAGAGCTGTTGCCTACTGGTGATAAATTTAAGTTTTGTATAAGCACATAATGAACGAATTCAAACTCCTGAACTTGAGACACTTGGTATCACAGGATTCTATACAAATTTATCAAAGCAGGGACAAAAATTAGATTTAAGTGTGGGCGTGAGGATGAGCTAACAACTTGCATCAATTTCAAGACTCTCTTTTGCTGCCGAAACTTAAAAAATCAATTCGACTGTTAATTAACAGAGTTGATCCTTAGATAGTTAAGGATTGGAATCAATTCGACTACTGTAAGTGAGCTTGTTTTCGTATAGGTTTTATTACTTATCACGGCTAAGTAATTATGAAATAACAGTTCTGTTAATTGATAACCTGGATCAGCATGTTCTTGTGTTCATCTGCATAAGCACTATTTCAAAAAGAAAAGAGAAGGTCAATTTCTATCTCGGAGCGTAGGATTGTCTGGAGTTAATCATACTCTACATTTTCCCCTTAAACCACGGATAAACCTAATATTTCTACTATATAAAGTATTTATCAAGGAGTTGTTATGAGATAGATATACCGGCTTAATATTCAGCAACGGCTAGTTGGCGTAGTTCTCACACATAGTGATTAGTGAACCATTATAATTTGTGTTTTCGTGTTTGTGTTTTTTAATTTCATTTGCTTAGCATTGCTCTCATGATTGGGATTAGGTCTTATAACATCAAGTATTTAATGCGTGGTTGCATGCAGGGGCGGGCCATGGAACTTGGGAGGGCAATGTCACAAGGAAACTGAACCGATATTCAATCAAACCCATTTAGCAAAGTACCCTTCGAAAATGAAAGCCCTGGAGCACGTACTTGAAGGTATGCAAACTCCCGTGATATATTTGAACATAAGTAGGCTTACGGACTATAGAAAGGATGGCCATCCTTCAGTTTACAGACCCGACTACCAAACAACACAACAACAAATAGCCAATGTGCACGCGCAGGATTGCAGCCACTGGTGCCTGCCCGGAGTACCAGACACTTGGAACGAGTTGCTGTATGTATCTCTTTTAAGGAGTGGAAGAGGATCTTGGAGAAGTTGAAATATACATCAGCTTTCATAGAAAGCCCTTAAATATATGGTTTATCCCAGATCCTAAATGTAGTATACGCCAAGTAATTTGATAATTTTTCCTAATGTGTTGTGTAAGAAGAATTGATGTATGAAATTTTTGCTGCATCATACCATCATTAGGTAACATTCTTATTCTTTAGTGTATTCAGCTTTGAGGTGAAATTCATGTATCTTAGATGATGTAGTGTAGCCTCTTATCACGATCAATCGATCACCAATAATCTAATATTAAGCCTGTGTTAAAAATCAGATTTTGAATATATTTTAATAAAAATTGATTAAATATGTCTTGAAAAGTTGTGGGTCTAAAATTATTAGTTGATTTCGATTTAGATTTCTATCAACTTTTTTTTAGCTAAATTAAATAGGGAATTTTTTTTAAAAATCTTTCTAATTAGATTGTAGTTTCATTTTATTTTTCAAAATTTTGATGGCGGGCTCAAATTTTTTTGTACGGTAATTTTAGATGAAGTCATTGAGGGAAATTAGTCTAAATATACTCTGGCCAAAAAAATCAATTTTTTTCTCTCTCTTTTAAGCCTTATTAATATTTATCTTGCTTAAAAAAGTTAATGAAAAAAATACCCTCTTTGACCTTTTATATATATATATTAGTCATGGTTGAATGCACGTTGCACGTTTTTTTGAAATACTTTGTAAGTGCTATAAAATTAATATTTGAAGAGGTCTGAATATAAAAAATAGTTAATACAAATTGTTTATGTGAAATGAACATTTATTCAATGAGAATCTTTCTGTATACAATATTTTTGTGTGATTAGGGTTATCTGACTTGATTAAAACATTTGCAGTTGCTATAGAAACTCCTCTTGAAAGTGTAACGTATAACTGTCCATATGACAATATATGTTGTGGAAGATGTATTCCGACATTAGGTGTTGTTTGTGATTCAATTTAATAGTTAAAGGAGTCAATTAGAATAGTCTCTCCATTTACTATTTTGATTTGAACTTAACATCCAAAGAATGCCACCCTTTCTCTATCTTCACTCAATATGCATTGAATATATCAATTTGAATTATTTTATTATAGATACTTACTTTTTATTTTTCAATTATTTGGAGATTTTTTTTAGTGGGGAATTGTGGTGTGGTGGAGATGGAGACGGTGGTTGGGATTTTTTTGGTAGGGGCGATGGTTCTGGTGGTGCAGGTGGTGGTTGTGGTGCTGGGGTAGGGTTTGATTTATGAAAATTATTTTTGATTTTGATTTTGATTTTTAATTATTTGTTTGATACTCATTTGTAATTTTTGAAAAATTGGAGCTTATGGTTGCAATTAGTTCTTTATTGTTTTCTCCTTTACTTTTTATTTTATTTAAATAAGAGGGTAAATTTGTCATTTCACAGAGAAGATGGATGAAAATTGAGGAAAATGATATTTTCTTCAAGAAATCGTGGAAATTAGGGTGAAAATGCGAAAAATTGAAACGTATGGACGTTTTGCACAATAAAGATCAAACGTAAGGATGTTTTGTGCTAATAAGCCTAATTAATAATTTTCATAGAAATAAATTCTAAACAATTGAATTGTTTAAAATTTATATTATTTCCATACAAATTTCATGTACGCAATCAAACGCATCACTAAGAAAATTATTCAAAATAACGAAAAACACGTTTACGAAGCACTAAATGATGGAATTGGATTGAAACAAGCTGTATATATGGGCAATGCCCTTGAGTTTTGCTCATTGGACATTTTCCACTCAAAATAAACAAAAACATCTTCGAAAATAGACACTTCGAAAATTTAATTTTTTCTACCACGATCCTACTTTTCCATGAGCTCTTCTTCATTTCTATTGCATCACTCGGCCACTGAAAATTTAATGTCTTAACCCTTCAACTCCATTTTTTCCTCTGAAATCAATTTCAAGTTAGAGTTCACATTCGCTTTCATATTCACACCGTTTGAATTCGGACTTTTCTTGCAATTTAATATTCTTTTTCTATTTATTTCCATCTAATTAAGGTAGAGATGATAATGGGCATGGTCGAATCAGCACGATCTCGTGGCTAATCATAAACGGGCGAGCTTGTAGTTTTTTTAAAAAAAATTGAATCATTTTCCTTTATTTGAGCTTGAGACCAGTTACTTAAATTTCGAGTAGGAAGAGTTAAAAATTGTACATGAACTTGTTTTGTGTACAAATTTATTTAAAAAAATTAAAAACAGTATTATAAAATAACAAATTTTGATTAATATGGTTAAATTAAATATCACTTACCTGACGACATGTAATTTTGGCATTTTTATCTTGCAGTCGGAAATGAACGTCTTCCAATCCTTCACGCACATTAATACTTCTAAAATATCTTCTTTGAGTCGGCTTCTGACCTCAGACAAAACCCTCTCACCTGCACTAAAGCAGACTTCAAAGTTACAGTGCTAACAGGTGGTCTTAATAAAATTTTACAATCGTAGAAACCACTGACCATCGTTGTTTGTACTTTCGCTAGAATTTAATTATTTCTTCTGAATTTTTTTAAGTATTTTTTTATTAGGCATATTATGATTAAAGTAATCAATTAATTCAGCAGACAATGTATTTGGACTTATGTCCGATATTTGATCACATGAGGTAGAAAAATTACTACTAGATGAACTTATTGCATTTGAATCATATCTGTACGTGTTAATGCCTTCAAATAAAGTTAATATTTAAGCGTCGTCTTCTTCAATATCGGTTGGAGGAATAGGTGCACAGGGTACCTGACTAATATCTGTACACATTCGTTTTGCATATAATTCATACATTTCACACAAAGTTTATTCTAAATTTCTATAAGTGATATGTGTATTAAAAGTTAAAGCTCTTGAATTTTATCAATTATATATTTAGTATCTGATAAATTGTATCGAGGGTCCATAATACATACTAAAGGAAATAACATAGGCAAGCCTTCGCAATATTCTCTAAACTTGAATTCTATAGAATATATAATTGCACTAAAATCGTAGGCCATTTTTGTATTTATGAAAAATTCTTCCAATTATGTAAAGAAATTTAAGCACCATATAGTTAGCGGGATAGTAAACTCCAGATAAATTATTTTTGGAGTCATAAAAACTTGTCAAAATTTTTAAATTTTAAAAGCTAAAATCCAATAGTTTTCAGGCAAAATAGTTTTATCATCGTTTCTAATATGTCTGTTGTTATAAAATTTAGTTATTAAATGTTTAAAACCTTAACATGATTTTAATAATAAATAAGTAGAGTTTCATTTATACCCTACGTCGCTTACAAATGTTTTCGTATGCGTCATCCCAAATTCCGTACAAAATTCCACAGAGACTTGTTTTCTATTAGGTAAAATAGTAATATATATTAGTGCATCTCTAATTCTTTGAATTTCATTCTTAAAATGTTTCAAATCATCATACACAATTAAATTAAAAATATGGCACACGCACAACGAATATGAAACAAATAACCACCGAAATCAGGCTGCAATACCCTACATAATTTATCAATAACTACCTTATTAACACTAGCGTTGTCAAATGTAAATGAACGAATTTTACTTTCGCAACGATATTTTCTAATAATATTCATAATAGCGTTATATATATTGTTAGCATTGTGTAGGAATTCAATAATTTTAAAAACAATAATTTTTTTATGCAAACACCAAAGTGAGTCAATGTAATGTGCAGTTACAGCTATATAAGTTCTTTTATGAATTCTTTCCTATATATCCGAAGTTAAATATATAACACCCCCATATTTTTTGTAAACCAATAATCAATTATTTTTTTGTATTAAGAAAATATTCAATTGTATATGAACGAAGAATGTTTTGACTTACCTCAACGTACCTCGGTTGAAGATATTCTTTCACCAACGTGATGAAATGTTGGTTGTCCGCTATTGCTTGCGGCAACAAATTTCACCATTCCCGTTCGAATATATCCACACGGAAAGTGGCAAAGAAGTAGAACCGGCGCCTGAACTACCAAATTGCAGTTGTGTTTGAGCGGCAGCAAGAAGGCCATGCTTTGCCGCACATGTTTGTAGTGACGGTTGAGGTGGGTAGTATCAATACCTTTTTGCTATGCCAATCGTTGTTGATAATATTTATAAACTATTTTAGACTCTGGGACTCCATCAACCACACAACTTGTTAGAATCAATTTAAAATGATCCCAACATTTTGCTTGTTTTTCCCCTTTCGTTTTCCTCTTGCATCGGGAATAACTAATACATGTTCCTTTTCATGTTTCACTTCGGGAACATCAACGTCAACCAAATCAATTGGATTACTTCTTCCATGAGTATGCAAATTTGAAATATTTTCAGGAATGGGTATTTCGTTCAAAGCGAAAAACTCATTCCGTAATTGACTTTGTGGCGTCACAGGTGATTCGCCTCCAATTTCGAACAAGCCCTCAACAAATGAGTGTGGATCCATTTGTGAATTGTGATGAAATGTATAATAAATAACTAAGTAAGTAGAAGAGAGTATGAAAAGAAATCAAGAATTACAAAAAATTTGATGTGTAAGATTGTAATTGCAAAGTTGTAGTGTGATAAATGATAATTGATATTGAATAATTNCTATTTAATAATCAAAATATCTCAAATTGGTTACATCAAACTTTAGATATAGAATTTAGTTCATGATAGATGAAAGAGAAATTATCAAATTCATAATAAAAAAACATATAGAGTAAAAAAAAAAAAAAAAAGTGGCCAAAATGACTACTTTGAAACTTCAATGACCCTTGCAAATGGTCACTAAATTTTTTAAAAGTGATCGAAACGGTCACTATTTCAGCGGTGAGCCCACCTCGCTCGGCTCAACTCGAGCCACCCATGAGCCGAGCGACCGAGTTGCTCAGCCCATTTGACACCCCTAAATTAAGGCTGTGAATTTTGAGATTTTTAAATTTTGAACATTTCTACTCCTAACCGTTAATAGCTTTCCACCACTACATTTCTATC